GCCTTCGGGGGTTCGTCTTCCCGCCCCCAGACAAGACGCGATAAGTTGAACCCAGAAGTTCGATCGCTCGCCGCCGAACTACTGGGTAAGTGTAGCCAAGGCCTAAGTCGGCTCTAGTGTATTTGGTCATCAACTTCATATCACTTTTTTCCAAGAAGAGCTCACATATGCAGTCAGTATTTGCAGTTAGCAGAGGCTCTCCGCCTGAATCCCATCCCCTCCTCCCCTCGCCACTTATAAAGCGAGGGGATGCCTGGTAGGGCATTCTCTGTGAGATCTCTGGAACTTGCTCCCACCTCTTCTTAGTCTGAAACCACCCAGATTTGTTGACTTTCTGGGCATGCTGCAAAAGACACTTGTTTGTTAGGGTTTTTGGGAGAGGGATGAGGGCATGCGCTCCAGAAAGTGAGAGGATGGAGCAGAGCTTTTTGTGTGGCTGGCTGAATTCTTTCTGGAATTATTTAACTCTGCCAGAGTTTTGTGTGGTTATAATGTCAGTTGTGTGTCAGGGGGCCTAGAGCTTTATATAGGCATCTTTTTATAGTATTCAAATTGAAATACCTTTTTTTAAAATAGTGTGAAGCTGTGGCATATGGTGCTGATGCTTAGTTGGGTTACCTAATTTATTGTCCTTAATAAAATTCCTTGTCTCCTAAGGAATGGAACCAAACTATACATGTCATACGCCAGTTGAAAGCTCAGAAACTGTATACATCAAAAGTGATGGCAATTTTCATGTTGGTCATCTAGGGCCTGATTATCCCAGGAGATGTACATATTAATAACAACACTTAACCATTATGCCACTTTTCATCAAGATCTAAATTCCTGTGCACAGCTCCAATTATCTGGACCAAAGTATCATATGGTTTTCTTACAGGCAACCAGTTTGTTTACTATATACAAGTTTTCTTAGCAAACCCACAGCCAGCATGCAAATTAGCAAGTGGCGTTTTGTATGGATCTAACCTTTGATGTCGTCTTTTTGGTGATAACAAAAAGTTTCATTTTCCTGCATTAGATATGAATAACACTTCTTAACATCAGTGCTGTGGAGTTGGAAAGCTACAACAACAAAACACACAAACTACTTAACAGGCTGGACACCTAATTTTAGAAATAAGACTTGACATGCAGAATAACTACTGCTAGCACATGATTTATTGCTTACCACCCCATCATATGACACGCTCTCAGTTACTGGCATAATAAGACTTATCTGACTGACACCACTGAATTAATTGCTCTCTGTTGCTGAGCGAGGTGAAGACCTGAAGTACAACAGGTTTGGTTTAGTCTTTGTTCTTTACTGAAATTGTGAAATTAACATTTCCCCCCTCTTTGTCACCCTCCCCCATCCCCTGAAAATACCTTCTCCTTTGTTCTACTTTGTAAATTTAAAAATCCGTTTGTGCACATGTTATTTCATATGATGGTAAATAGAGCCTTTTAGCCAGGGTAAGTGAGCCTGATCCAGGAATGTAGAAGATTGTATCTTGAAAAAATCAATATTAAGATGTACAATTGCTCCCATGGTATTGAAAGAATTAGTTGATCTACATGCCAAATGACAACCCCCTTGATAACAGGGATTATGTGTCCTGTCTTTCCAGGCTGTGCTTCTTGGGGGCTGCTCTCTAGGTCCCTGAGGCAGAGATAATCTAATTAGTACAACAAAGACCAGGTCAATTTGAAAATGTAAGAGGGGATTGGAGAGAATGGTTGTCGGGGGTGACAGTGTTATAGCTAGAGACAGGCTCTGGAAAGTTACAGGGGAAGAAGGAAAATTTAGAGCATAATTTAATCTTCAGTTTGGCTCCACAAACACTGGAAAGGCAGACCCACTAGACTATTACCAGACGAGCATCAACTTAGTGAATGCTTACAGCACACACATCATATGCACACACTCAGTCACACACAGGGAAGGAGGGGGTCAAAAGGAAACAAAAGTGATCTTGTTTTCAGTGGAGAGAAGATGGTTTTGACCTAGATAGGCCTGTCTGCTGTGAAGTCATGGGCTCTGGCTGGAAAGCCACTTGTTAACAAATGTTTCATCAAAAGACGTAAGATTTCCTTTCCTCTCTATCAAAGAACATGGAAAACATCCAATGGTTCCCATTCAGCTGTCTGGCCCCATTCAGCAAAGCACTTAAATATGTGCTTAACTTTAAGTACATGCTGACATCACATTGACTTAATTTTAGGCACATGCCTGGAGTTATGCTTTTCTGAATTGGTCCCCAGTTTCTCAATTGGAGTAAAAAATCATCCTAGCTCTGTTCAACTCCAATGAAGATCCTCAAAGCTAATTTAGGCTTCTAATGTCCATTGAAATCTTACTGACACCATCAAATTAATTGCTCTCTGGTGCTGAGGCGAGGTGAAAATGTGACGTGCAAGAGGTTTGGTTTAGTCTTTGTTCTTTACTGCAATTGTGAAATTAACATTTCCCCTGTATTCCCCCCACCCCAAATACCTTCTCATTTGTTCCAGTAATATGGATTAATAATAAATAACAAAAGGTTACAATTTGCACAACTGGATGGGTATGAATCATTTCAAATTCCAGAGTCATTTTAAAATTACTTACTAAATTATCAGCAATCCCCACTGGTCCTGAACCTAGAGATGGCTAGTTAGTGATTTCTTTATACCAGTCCTAATTTTCCATCCTGACTACAAGTCACATTGCTGTGGAACCTGATGCAGGCACTATACCTGGTCCTTAGCGTATCCCATCAGTCTCATAAACTTTGATGCCCTCGATAGCTGAACCATTTTCAGCAGGGATCAGATGAACAGTGAGGGCCAGATACTCAGCTAGTGTAAATTGGCATAGCTCTTTTGCACTCCTTAATACTGCCCATTTGCTTACATACATGCTGAAATGTAAGTCTTAGGATCAGAACCTAACTAAATGAATATTTTGCTTAACTACTAACTTTGTTTTTTGTCAGACTATAAGCTAGCATGATGGAAAAGGATTGACACTGTTTTTGCATTTGTGTTACAAATGGGTCTGTGACCTGTTACCTACCAATTTTAAAATGTTTAGAATTTCCAGTACAATTTGCAGGTTAGACAGGGTTCAAAAATACTGCTGGCTACAGTATCTCAGGTAGGTATGTGCCAGAGTTGCAAATTTTGGAATGAGATCCAAGCTTTCCAAAAGCCAGGGGGTGTTTGTATCTGAGATTTTGGTTCTAACCATTACAGGCATAGGACCATAAAGTTTAGATCTGAATCTAGATTCAAACTTGGCCAAAGTCCTGTGTTGTTTGGATCTAGATTTTGTTTGGGACCCATCTCTAATATGAATATTTCAAGCACTGCTTTGTGCAAAATGGGTGCAGGGTTCTTTGAATTAAATTAATATAATTTAGCGGCCTGAGGAAATGAGACATTGATTTCTCACATCTGGAAGTTGCTCTCTTCTAAGGATCATATGCACATTGAATTCAAGCATTTTTGTGCTGCTCCCCTGACCGTTGCATCCATGTCATCAAACCCAATCTTGTTGCTTTGGCAAATATTCACACAAATAAGAACATTGTAACAATGGGATCTTTCTTGTAACATTTCCTCCACCTCCTCCCCTTGTCCCTTGCTGCCTGTCTCTCCTACATTTGAGAGACAAAATTTGGAGAGGCGGCGAGGATGAGATCATAGTTCTGTGAGAGGTGACAGGAAAACTGGCTGCGCCGTTCAGTGCTCCACGTATCCTTTTCCCATGAAGCAGATCTGATTCTCTTTTCCCTATCCGCAACTGCGTGGAGACATCAGCACTTTGGAGACGGTGCTCGCCAGCCACTCTGGTAAAGCTTCAAGAGTGAAGATAAGGCCTTGAGACGTGGAGCCATCCAAATGTGAACGTCTAGCGCTGAGTTTGCATTCCTGGCTTTGCTTAATGTATTTATTTACTTTAATTAAGATATTGAAATAACTTTATAAACAGGAATTAGCCAGGCACCAAGTCTTGATACCCTTTGGGAATTGTCACAGACTGCAGAGTGACTCTAGTGGGGATGCTGTAGGTACCCTAATTGTCATTAATCTCAATTGTGGATGCAGATGCATTCATTCATGTTTGTCAGTTTGCTACTGGCTAGGCTCCCCCTGCTTGGCTCTTAAACTCAAATCTAGGCGTTCAGTTATAGTCGATTAACTGTCAAAGCTGTATTTTTAGAAGAGCCTAAGGAGGGTTAGGCAATGGGGCTTAAGCCCCTTTGCTTCTAGTTCCAGCCCTAAAGACCCAATGAGCACATTTCTATGCAGAAAATGGAACCCTGATTTCAAGCCCTGCCATTACATCATACAGGTACTGTTGGGATTATTATTATGTATAAAGTACCAGAGGTGGGCTAGCCCTTACAGACAAGTAAAAAAGCCAGGTTCCTGCCCTGGGGAGCTCACAATCTAACTTTGTCATAGGAAACACAGCTAATTAAACAGTCCTAGAGCAAGAAATGGCTAATTCTGTTCTGTATATGAGCCACATACCTAGAAGTCTGAACCCAAGTGATTATGACTTCTCTCTGAGACTATTAATGTGTTTCACTTGTTAGAGAAGAATTAGAGAAATTCCATTTACATCAATGGGAGTTTTGCCTTTGACTTCAGTGCGACCAGGATTTGGCCCCTTTGGGCCCAGACTTTTGTAATTAGTTGGTTGTTAACCAAACTGATGTTGGAAAAAATGGATTACAGTTGATAGATCTAGAAAACAGATGATCTTGGACTGACTAGGAAGTAGCCATTTAAAAAGTGCAAATGTGACCATCCATCAGTCAAGGTTATTAAAATGCTTTCGTGATTTACATCTCCTAGGCTGCCTTTACACCCCACTAGTCAAGTTAAAAATTGAATTGAATTCACATCCGATTCACTTCCCCATATCTACTTGATATTTGATGTTAACCCTGTGAGAGAAGATCCTGCCTTTCAGAAGCCACATATGAATGTAGCAACGAACATATTCTCCTGGTGTCACTTTTTGAAAATCATAGACAAAGAAGACTTATTAGGTCACCTTGTCCATCCCCCTAACAACACAGAATGGTTCCTTATGGTATATTGCTTGGCCCAGCTCCTTGGTTTAGTAAGCTTTTGAGGACAGGCACCATCTCTTTGTTCTGTGTTTGAACAATACCTAGCACAATGGGGACTTGGGCCGTGATTGGGGCTCCTAGACACTATTGCAATATAATAGTATGCCCTGTTATGTGGCTCATACTAGCCCCTGAGAAAACACAACCTTTTGCAATATAGTTAGGATAGACCATGGACTGTAGTGATTTATTCTTATTAATAATTGTATTCACTAAGGCTACATCTACACTACGGGGGGGGGGGTCGATTTAAGATACGCAAATTCAGCTACGCGAATAGCGTAGCTGAATTCGACGTATCGCAGCCGACTTACCCCGCTGTAGGGACGGCGGCAAAATCGACCTCTGTGGCGTCCCGTCGACGGCGCTTACTCCCACCTCCGCTGGTGGAGTAAGAGCGTCGATTCGGGGATCGATTGTCGCGTCCCAACGGGACGCGATAAATCGATCCCCGAGAGGTCGATTTCTACCCACCGATTCAGGCGGGTAGTCTATACCCAGCCTAATACTGAGAGGTCAGCCTTGAAACTCTGGCATTTCTCTCTCTGTAAAGTATTATGTCATTTCATTTTGCAGTCCTTTTTTTGGATAACATTTTTGCATCAAATGAAAACTATTCTTCCTTCCCATGTCTCTCTCTTAAGCCACATGGGTCAAGTTTAATTCCTGTGGGATTTGTGGGGGTATGGTATATAACTCCTGATGTATTCCATAGGAAATTAACATTATTAAATGATTGTGTGATGTATCGTTGGATCTTATCATTTGGTGCCTTTGGATACTGCAGCATTTTGCACAACTGCAGATTTAACAAAAATATATTAAAAATTCTTGTTTCGTTTGATAAAAGACCATAAAGAGTGAAACAGAGCAAATCAGATATAGTAGAACAGAACGTAACTGTTTGCATGGGAATACTGGGAACTGTGTGTCTCACCCTCACAGGCTACAAAGATAATTTCCTGACTACTTAGTAGTAGTTGGTTTAAAAAAAAAATCTATTAGACAACTTCTCCTCACTCAAGGGAAATGTCTATCAGCAAAGCTGATTAGAGATAAGGGTAAGCAGATGTCAAAACAGAAGACCACCAAAGAACTGGGGGTCCTAAAGTGAACTGGGAGAGCTCCAACAGGTAATAAGTGTGGCTGTCTGTCATACCAAGATTTAGAGCCC